ATATGAGGGGCACCAGGTTGTGGAATTAGAATATATGTTCTGAGACTTACAAAGGGAAGTGGAAAGCTTAATGTGGGTCAGGGAAATGGACATGTAGTGGCAGGGGTGTGGAAGCTGTGGCTTGACTCCAACTCCCACCAGCCTCAGCCAGTGAGGAATGAAATCAAAGAAGCACCCAAAAGAGGAAATGTATTAATGGGTGACTTCAACTTCCCTTACGTAGACTGTTTGCATATGCATTCCAGACACAACAAAGAAGTAAAAAATCTAGATACACTAAATGATTGTGCCCTAGAACAGTTGCTCATGGAACCAACCAGGAGAGCAATGACCCTGGGTTTAATATTGAGTGGCACCCATGATGTGGTGTGAGATGTGTTGTTAAGTCAGTTTGGAGCAGTGACCACAGTGCTATTAAATTGTGTGGCGGCGGCGGCAGTGGGAGGCCCTATTAGCGCAAGCACACCTCAGGTTAAGAACAGTTTCGGGTTAAGAACCGACCTCCAGAACAAATTAAGTTTGTAACCTGAGGTACTACTGTATATGTAAATGGTTAATTGCCAAGAAAGTCCAACATGGTCACATTTGATTTCAAATAAGCAAGCTTGCCCCAAATGAGGAAATTGGTTAAAAGGAAGTTGAAAGGCAAAGTCAAGAGGGTCAAATCACTCCAAAATTTTCTGGAGTTGTTAAAAAAATGCAATACAGTGGTACCTCGGGTTCTGGAGGTCTGTTCTTAACCTGAAACTGTTCTTAACCTGAGGTACCACTTTAACTAATGGGGCCTCCTGCTGCTGCTGCGGCCACACGATTTCTGTTCTCATCCTGAAGCAAAGTTCTTAACCCGAGGTACTATTTCTGGGTTGGCGGAGTCTGTAACCTGAAGCGTCTGTAACCTGAACCCGAGGTACCACTGTATTAGGAACTTAGCTGGAGTGTATACTACAGGTCCAAGAGGATGCCAGAGGACAAATTCATGATCCAACAGACTCTTCTTATATTCAATATAGTGAATGATCACGGTTGTTGGGAGTTATAGTACAGCAACATCTGAAAGGCCACAGCTCCCCTTACTCCTGTGCTATGGGCTAGGTTTCTAGGTTATGACAAAGGACATATGATTGCTATTCCTTCTGTCCCGTGTTTACAAGTTTTAGGTTTCTATCCTCTCTCCATTTGAATCTAAATTTCACTGGGGGGAAATGGCAGTTTTAAACAACAGCAGAACTTTGAGTAAAGCATGGGTGGAGAAATACTGAAGAGTTTCTTTTAAAACAACCCAGTTTGAAATTTATATTCTGCTTGATTGTAAAAAAACATTCAAAGCAGTTTACAAAAAATAAACCTCATAATTATCAGTAAAAGTGGTTGAAAACAACTATTTAAAACATTCAAATAATAATAAAGCAATAAGCTAATAATAGAGTAAAACACATATTTCTTTTCCTTTCAGTTACTGCCATTCAAACTTTTGCAGCTGTTTTAAGCCACCACTTTCCCCCTCTGTCTCCTTCTCTTCTTGTTCCCATGCCAAGGCAACTGCTATTGTGCAACGTGCCTTCACTTTTGCTCCCCTGCCCTGCCTTCATGCAAATCCAGGATTGTGATGAGGCCCTACAGATCTTCCAGTGGGGCTGCATGATTATACTCTCTCTCTCTGTCCCACACCCACCCACCTAAAAACCACTATACAGCAAGGATGGGGAACCTGTTGCCCTCCAGGTGGTGTTAGAGTCTAACTTCCATCAGCTCCACCTAAAGGTCAGGAAACTTGGGAGTTGTAGTCTAGGAATATCTGGAGGGCTGCAAGTTTCCCACCCTTGCTGCTGAAGCTATTTTGGAAATATACTGTTAGGCCTCCCTGTGCTAAGTAGATTCTGAAATGGTGCACTGTGTATGTTGGGTTCCATGGAGTGCCATGTATGTCTAGCCCATGCAGAGCCAGAAATGGTGAGTGTCTATCTGTGATTCCACATGATCCACTGCTTTAATAGTTATGCCCTACTTTACCCAGATGTACAAACATTAAAACGGTCTTACTTTTAAAAAATCTACTAAGAATCTTAGTTTCAAAATCTCAGTACTCTCCTTCTCCTTCTTTGGCAATCATTTGTAGCCGAATAAGATTGTCTTCCATGAACACGGTCTTACCAGTGAGTCCGTAAGTGACTTTGGAGGCCAATTCTGGATCCACACATCCTTCCACAGTGGGGACATAGGATTCCGGGTGGGAGTTGATCACAGTGAGAGTTTGCCAAACATGCCTTCCTCTTAACACGTTTCTCTCTTTTGTCCTGAGTTTGGGCATCTTCAAAGTCCACGAAACCTTTGGTGAAGGCTGTTCTCCAATTGGAACATTCGCAGGCCAGTGTTTCTGAGTTGTCTGTGTTTATACTACATTTTTTAAGATTTGCCTTTAAACCTCTTTTGTTGACCACCAGCATTATGCTTTCCATTTTTAAGTTCAGTATAAAGTAGTTGCTTTGGAAGATGATAATCAGGCATCCAAACAACATGACCAGTCCAAAAAAGTTGATGTTGAAGAATCATTGCTTCGACACTGGTGACCTTTGCTTCTTCTAGTACTCTGGCATTAGTTTGCCTGTCTTCCCAAGTGATGTGTAAAAATTTTCGGAGACACCGTTGATGGAATCTTTCGAGGAGTTGGAAATGGCGTTTATAAGTGGTCTGTGTTTCACAAGCATACAGTAAGGTTGGTAGTACAATAGCTTTTTAAACAAGCATTTTGGCTTCCTTGCAAATGTCCCAGTCCTCAAACACCCTGCACTTCAATTGGGAGAAAGCTGCACTCGCAGAGCTCAGACGATGCTGGATTTTGGCATCAATTTTAACTGCCCAGGTAGGAGAAGTGATCAACATTTTCCAATGTTACACCACTGAGCTGGATTTGTGGAACTGCAGAGGGGTAGTTTTGTGCTTATTGGTGCAGCATTTTGGTTTTTGGGATGTTGAGCAATAGGCCAAGCTTTTCGTAAGCTTCTGCGAAGATATTTACACTAAAGCAGACAAAGTACAGCAGAGAAGCATTCCATTAAATGCTCAAGAGAATAAAGCTGCTTTCACTGAGTACCCTAAAATATAATATTGCTCATGCCACATGAATGTCTTTGGGGCAGTGCAAACCCAAGACATTTTGCTACCCAAAGGTCAAATGCTGCCACCCCCCAATTAGGGTCAACACTGTGAAAAGCTTTGTTCCATTTTTAATGCACCAGATCTACCATACAGAAACATCTAAAGCAGATTGCTTCATTCTAGGGCCATTCTGCTCAGTGGGTATCATTTGTGCAAAGCGGGTGAAAAATGACTTATGTCCAGGTACTTCTCAGCAAACCTGTAAAGGCAAGGACACCTAGAAGACAGCCTTAGAAGATGATTGCAAGGGAGATAAGTTCATACTAGAGAGGGCAGTTCTTGTCTGAAGTGCTTTTACAGCTTTGTGGGTGAATATTGGATATGCTTACAGGGCGCACCTGTCTCAAGGTTTGAAATTATAGCTTGGTAGACTATTAGTTAAATTCCTCCTTTTCAGAGAATACGTGTTCCTGTTCTCTACCTGTGATCGCTGGCTAGCAGAGTTGTCTGGACTAGTGCCTACTCCTTATGTTCAGAAGCAGAATGCAGATGAGGTAGAGGTGTTAAAATATGTTGCTGTAGTTCTACAACTGTCAACTGTGATGTTTTATTCAGCTCTGTCTATTCAGAAGCTCCCTGTGCAATGAAGAATGCCATATGCCATTGTCCTTGCTCGCTTGCTCACTAGCTGGTGAGCAAGCAGCTAGGCAAAGGTTTCTAAACCTGTGTTTCCTTGTGTGTTTTGGGCCACTGAGAGAGGCTGCGGTCCAGTGCTATCTTTTATTGATAAGGCCAGCAAAGGATGACTCTAATGAAATTATCAAAGCTTTGAATTAATTATGAACTCGAATAAGAAAGCTAAGCTCTCTGGAGCCAAGCATCTCATTAGTCATTCATTCACATTGCAATCTCTTTATAGAGGCAGAAGGCAGGTTCTGCTTCAGCTTAGCCTGTGCTTGGATTTGGTTCAAACTTGCCAGCTCTTTCAAACGTCCTTGCTCTGTGGCTGCAAGACATCCTTGGTGATTAACTTGATTCTGCCTCCGTTCTTCATTTAAATGGCCGGTTCTGCTCTCCCCCACCCCCACTTCCCTTCCCTCTAATCCTGGTTCTGCATCATCGAAGTGGATGTCATGCAAGGGTTTCTTCTTCTCTGATAGCAAAGGGGAAAGCTTTACAAGATTGTAAATATTTTATGTCTCGTGGAGTTTGATAGCTTATCCTTAATGCTTGTTTCCATCATTGTTTCTTGGAAATTTAGGTAAGCACAACACTTTATTTAAAATCAATTCAAAGTCATTTATTTTTCTTACTTGTTGAGTTCCTTACATTCTCTGGCCTTCAGGATTAAAAGTCTTGTGTTCTTATGGTTTACCTATTTCAAAATGTATTCAGTTAAAGTTCATAATGTACATGCCGAATATTAAAGTAAAATATGGCTTGCTACAGTTGAGAAGTTCTCACAATTTGGATGAGTAACACTATTATATTCAATTATTTTTCAGAATTTTCCCAGTATTGGATTTTTATTTTCCCCAATAGTAACAGTATATTTCTAAGCACTGAGCTCAGTAAGACGTCTTCTCTAGTAAGTTTATGTTAGGATTATACTGTTGGTCTGTTTGTACTATTTGTGTCAGCCATGTAAAAAAAAAAATCACTCTGGACAGGTCTTTAGCAGTAGTTTATCATTTGTATCATATTCACTGGCATTGGTCCATTTGCTTTCTGTGCAGCCTCCATGTTTACATATTTGTTTTCTGAATCACATAATGTTATAGCTACTTGCAGTTGTTATAAGCAGTGATGATGGCAAGCTAGATTCTTGAAGATTTGAATGAAATGAAAGGAGTGTTTTGTGTAAAGCAGAAAGACTTAATGGTTTTTCTTTTTTCTTTATTTAGGCAGCCGCTATATTTAATTCAGCATTTGGAAGTTTTTTGGTGAGTCATACTGGGTTTTTTTATATGCCTCTTTAATGTACCATTGTTTAATATTTGTATTGCTTGGGAGGAGAATTGGAGACTGTTATTATCTGTCCTGGTGCTCATTAAATATACCCAAGCTTGTATTTCTTTTCTGTGTCTCCTGCTGTTTGGAAAATTAGTGCATGAATAATCTCTGATCAATATAATTTAATGATGCTTAAGTACATGTTAATAGTCTCCTTAATGAGGTGACAATCTATTATTATTCAGATGTTTTGGAGGCTAGTGTCAATATATTGATTTTCTAATGAGGCTTATCGCACAATCATTATTTTCTATCAAGGGGCCATGGATTTTGAAAGGAAAACATGGCCCAGATGATGAGAGAGACAATGCTAATTCACTCAGTGACGTGTCACCATTTTTCTCTGCTCCATGACCCCAGGGAGGCTATTGGAAGAAGTATAAATAAGCATACAGTCAATGCTGCTCAAAGTATCATTTCTGTATTTACATGTTAGGGCTGCACTTCCTGAGCACACACTATAAAAACATGCAGAAAGGGCAGCTCAGTAGTTCTTTCCTCTGTTTTATGTATTCATCAAATCAAACAGTTTGGCCCCTTAAGAGACATTTTGTATAATTTTGTATCTTTATAATACACATTGCTCATCTCAAGATTGGTGCTGACAATTACTTTGATAAAAAGTTGCATTATAGTAAATACTTAAAATAAGGGGACATACAATATTACTTTGTGCATTATGAACACTTATCAATAAGTTAAACATGCATATACAAAAATGCTGCAAATAACATAGGTATTTAGAGAGAGATTCCATACTCAGATGTTATTTTCATGTATATAGCTCTTAATGCTTGAAGCCTGGTATTTTTCCAACTTTTACCATTTTTTAAGCACTAGAATACATTGCAGAGCACTGGTGTTAGGCCTCTGTCAGTTAGCTACAAAACTGCCTTTTGCAGCTAGCTGTAGTACCACTGTGGCCCTACTATGCTGCATGATCTCAAGAAAAAATGTGGACAGGCGTAATATGGTCAGTGTACTCTGCATGCTTTGTTTGGTTTCTAAGCTTTCAGTTAAATTTTATGTAATAAGACTAGTATGTGGTACAATATGGCGTAACTGTCCCTGTGCCATAAACTCCAGTATATCTGCCCGTTCAGCTCCATAGTTACCTCATATAAAGTAAAGCGCACTGCAAACCCTGACATTTGCAAGAGCCCTTCAAGATGATGAGTTTGTATGTCACGGCCTAATCTCCCAAAGAGTGTTGGATACTGAAAACTGGTTCACTGAGTTGGGTTTGATGGCCTATAGTGTGATAATTCTATGACCAGTAAAGACATTCCTGTAAGTGCTTTTCAGATATGCAGTCAGGTGACCTGAAAAGAGAAGAGAATGCTTCTATATATGGTTGGGGAGATCTAGTTTTTCAGACAAAGTGCTGTGCTTTTCTTGGAGGTCCTGGAGATATGAATGAGAGCTTTCTGAAATAATATGTATTCTCCAGTTATTTAAATATATTAGCATTTGATAGTCTGCATTTACTGGCAATGACAGAGGCATATACTGGATGTATGGTTTTTAGAATTGAAACTAAACTTCAAACCAATCTCAGAAAATGAATTGCTGTAGTTTTGCAGGCAGAAATATGTGCATATTTATAACTAATGTAATAACATCATAGGTCTAATTAAAACATAGTGTTTTAAAGAACTAATTGTTACAGAAAACTTTTTTTTCCTGTAGCTAGCCTGGTAATTAACTAATGATAGATGAATTCAATTTACATAAATTTCAGACCAAGAGAATATTTTAGAATTATGCCACAGAGAATTGCTCTGAGTTTTAATATCATTATCTCCTCCCCTCATTTAAAAAGTTGGGTTTAGAATAATTGTGGAACATAAGTGATTTGAGTTTTCCCCATGACAGCAACTTAATAAAATATGATAGCATTTTAGTAATTCAAAGCAGTTGGTTATCAGCAATAACTGTGGCTCTAAGATGGTAGCTCTATGCACATTTATTTGAGAATAAATCCATTGAACACAGTGGGACTTACTTTTCAGTAAACACATAGGATTAGGTTGCATAGCATGTAGTTATAAAAAAAATGCTGATTAAATCTAGACTAGACTCCTGCAATGCTCTCTACAGAGGACTGCCTTTGAAGACAGGAAACTTTGGCTAGTGCAGAATCCAGTGTCCAGAATGCATGTGTGTATGTAGGTGGCTTTATCATATTATTATACAAATTTTCATTGATTGCAGAGGTTACCTATGTTTTCAGATGCTAATTTGTTAGTGATATTTGAAGTCCAGAACAGTTTTGGGAGTATGTTTCTTAAAAGAGTACCTACTCTCATATGAACTTGCTGGGCCCTGCTCTCTGCCCAACAACCAATGGAGACAGTGGCGTAGCGTGGGGGGTGCAGGGGGGGCCGGCCGCACCGGGCGCAACATCTGGGGTTAGGGCAAATCCACAGGTTAGGGGGCGCAAATCCACGGGTTAGGGGGCGCAAATTACTTGCCTTGCCCCGGGTGCTGACAACCCATGCTACGCCACTGAATGGAGACGTTTCAGTGGTGGAATTTTCTCCCCTGAGATCTCTGCTTGGCCTTGTCTCTTGAGGCAGAACATAGTAATAATAATAAGCCACTAAGGGTTTTTCTTTTTAAAAAATTGGTAGACCCCTGTTTATGACTTTATCTGATGCTTTGTTTTATCTGATGCCATTTTACCAGATGTTGTTTGTTCAATTATGTGATGTATTTTCCATTTTTATTGTAAACTGCCTTGTGAAGGCTTGTCCTAAAAGGCAGGATAGAAACAAATATAATAAAAATAATTATACAATAAAATACACATTTTATTATACTGTCGCAGACCTGGAATAATTGGTGTTGTTGGAGTTCACCTGCCAAAGGCAACTGGTTCCTGCATTAAAGGGATAAAATGCTTAAATATTAATTAATTGCACTGTTGCCCAGTTATTCTGGATGTATTGTTTCTAAAGACTGTTGTGTTGAAGTGCTGGTTAGCAGCTTGGTGCTAATATAAGAACAGTGTGACTGTACATAAATTTAGATATGTACATGCACACACCATCCTTCCACAAAATGCCCTTCTAATAAAAATGTATGGAATTCTTATCTACTCCATTTTAGTAGGCATAATGCTTTATATAGCCTGACAGGACCTGTGTAAATGCATTAGGTGCAGTGTCCATTTTTCTTGCAAATTTGTGACAGAGATTTAATTATGAGAATGACCAACAACTTACAAATCTAATTTTCATAGGCTGAGCCAACTTCTTTATTTTTTTAATAATGATGGATTTTTATTTTTTTTAAGCAATGATTTCATTACTATTTAAAGAAATACCATTGGTGTGGAACTAACCAATTGACTGGCATTTTTATTTCATTATATTGCACCAAATGCTGTTCATGCTTTTTTCTGTTAATTGTTCTACATTGTGTTAAAAAAACCAAAACATTGTGCAGAAAATTTCAGGGGAGGAGACTGGCTTGTTGATAATATCTTCTTTCCCAGTTTGTAAAATCAGGCAATATTTTTTAAAAGAAAGAAAAATGTTTGAAGAATGTTGGCCAAACATACCTCTTTGCCTTTCTTATGAGTGCTTATTTTAAGCAACTAAAGTAAGTGTTCACTACTGAGGTTGAATAATAATGTGTATAACATCTAGCTGTTGCAACTATGTCTTCATAGTGTAATTTCATATTCTCAATAGTCAGTTTTCATTTTCTCTGTTAGGAATTGTGGAGAATTGATCCTCTTTTCAGCTTTAGATTCTTTTAGCTCAGATTCCTTACTCCTTGCTGTTTATTTGAGAGGACCCATGTACTAACTTAGGTCCATTAATTTCAATAAGTCTACTCTGAATAGAACATAATTGGATACAACCCAGCTTCTTTTCATTTGAGTAGACTGGGAAATGGTGACGCTTTGCTATGGCAGTGAACTGTTTGATGACTTAGCTTGTGGAAGTTATTTCAAACTTTCATTCATCTGAAACTGGTTTTGGAGCTCTTTTGATATGTCTGTGATATGTCACAGATCCTAGAACGGCTTAGATATTTTAACTGCAAAGCTACCAGGGCCTGCTCAAGACACTTGAACTGCCTGAAGCAAAGATAGCACGGCACCCCATTTCCATGTACAGAAGCTGACTGGACTGGCAATTGAAACTTGCTTCAACACTGGTGATGGGAAAGCATCCTCCACCACATCTGAGGGTAGGCAGGGTTGTGTCGCAGATGCATGACAGGCCATCTAGCACATCCTATTCTTTTTTCCCACTGAAGGGAAGAGCCAGAGGGTTGTCTATACTGCTCCACAGCCTGTCTTGCCTAAGGCAATTGCCTAATGGTAGGGCTGGCCTGAGAACCACCAGTGGCAGGCAGTTGCTTTGCACCTGGACAGATCTCATCTCATGAGTGAATGAAATCTGCTATAGGTTCTCTCCCATAAATTTATGAACAATTGGAGATCATATTGGTTGAGCTCATATAAGGGTTTATAGGTGATCAGCAACAACTTGAATTGGTGTTCCATATATATAGGTGGTAGGAAGAAAAAGCAGTTACCTACCGTGCATCTCTTATGGCTGCAGTTCTTTGAGATAAATTTCAGGAAGGTGGGTGACGAAATGCATACAGGAAGGTTTCCAGAAGTGTGCTGTCTTTCGAGAGTTCTCAGAATCCTTTCCATGTCTTATTGTGTCTATTAACCTTCTGCAGCCCAGCAGGAGAAATTCTTACAACTACGTATGTGAGATGAGGCCTTGTGGTTGGAAGATAGTGGCATGTACAAAAGCACCCTCGTCTATTCCCTATCTAACACTGCCTGCTGGTTCAGGAGCTAGGAATGTAAAGAAGAAAATCGGGTTGCCTTTATTAGTAAAACCAATTTCTCATCCGTATGCTAGAACACTTAAATTGCTTAGTCTGGAGTAATCCCACA